TATTCGTCACAGCTTTTGAAACAGATATGGTGTGTCAAGAATTTTATATTGAAAAGAAAAAAAAACCTGCACATTTCTCTTGCTTGGCAACACAAAAGTGTGGTCAGGTTCAAAGAGACCGAAACGTTGTGATTTTTTTTAATATATTTGTGATTCTGAGCAAGAGAAGTGTGCAAGATTTTTTTTCTTTGCACTGAATAATTTGTTGTCCTGGGTCCATTTTCTCCTGTCCTAAACTCAAAACACAAATAATGCAAGAAAAAACTATCAACCTGCTATTAATCTGAGGTTCTCATTTCTACGTAATCATTACTTGAGACACCTTCACCCTTTTGATTTAAACTTTGTATTCTTTTTGATATTTTGCATTTTAAAAGAACAAGAAAAAGGGGGGTAGTTATACAAATATCACATAGGTGCAGGGCGGCTCAAAAACAGAAGACTGAGGAAGAAGATACACCCACACATAGTCATAACGTTTCAACCAGAGGTCTTCTACGTTCAGTAGTTACCACCTGAAGAAGACCTCTGGTACAAACACTGTGATTGCGATGGAATAAAAACTTTTTGTGGCATTTGAGCGAGTGTGCGGGCATTTCATCTTCGATGAAATAAGATGACACCTCACTGCATCTTTAATATAACTCAAAGTATTACTACAACATTAATCTCACTTGAATACATACTAAAGTTAATGTTAACTTAAAAGTAAAACTTGTGAAATGTTACTCTAATCCAAACGAGGAGTCGATCCAATAATCTGTAAATCCACATTTCATACAGATAGTCCCTCGATATCTTCTGTTTCTCATTGGGAAATGAATTTTGATTGGCCAAAAATCCTAAACTGGTATTGGCTATTTGCCCTGTCAGAGGTGGACTTATGTTCACACTTACTGTTTTTTTTGTTGCAAAAGGCTGCTAGTAGTTTTCTTTAAAGTAATATATTTTCTATTGTTTGTAAAACAAGTAAATCAAAATGTTACAGGACCAAAACAACTAATGTTTTCTTGCAAAATTAAAAGTGTGCAGGAGGGTTTTTTTTAGCATAGCATATTTTCTATTGTTTGTACTTTAACCTGTAAATAAATATGTTGCACATCTATTTCACAAGACAGTGAGGCCTACATATGACTTAAAATCTTACTTGCAATAAAGTAACTGTAAATGTTCCAGGACCAAAACATTGCCAAGTCATGTATTCTTGCCAAATTAAAAGTGTGCAGGTTTTTGCATTCAACGTTTTAAGTAGTCTAAATTGCGGCTTTGAACACACATTTCCTTTTTGTGTTTTATAGTCGATTTGACTGAAGTTATTTAAGTTATATTCATTTGTGTGTGTGTGTGTGTGTGTGTGTGTGTGTGTGTGTTTGCACATCACACTTCAGGCCCACCCTGCATGAGTCAGTGCCCCAGTTGGCCCACCATAGTCAAAAAAAATTCTGGACACGCCCCTGATTACCAGCCCCTTTATTCTTCCATCCATAGCATGAGTAATGATTAATACCGTTTCCATGGAAACAAGCTTAATGATAGCTTTTAAAGCTCTTTGAGGATTGATCCCCTGATTCATTAATAATCCAACATAAGCAACAATCTCTTGTTTTGATTCAGGTATGAAGAATGAAAAAAAAAGGAGCACACAAGTAATTTTTTTTTTTAAAGTGCAGTTTATTATTTCTGTAAGTTTTGTTACAGTGTTTTGTTTCTTATTCATATTTCTAATACAGATATCATCTTAAGATGATCAGTTTATAGAACAAAGACTCTTCAAAGCACGACGCAACAAAGACGTTATCGAGTTTATAAGCGGGTCATCTAAGAAAGGTAATACACACACAATACGGTTTACTTCGTTGTTGTTCTTGATGCGTAACCAGACAAAGATCCATTAGAGATCACTACAAGTCATAAATGTGACAACACACGTGTTTCATCTGAAAGACTAGGCCGTAGTATACAGCAGGAAACCAGTGAACGTGTTATAGTTGTTATGGTCACAGAGGACACAATCTTTGGGCAAGATGACGGCCACCTCGTCCCCGGCCGTCAGATTTACGGCCAAAACAACCGTGGCACTGTCTTCAAGGTCCTGGCCATTACTCTCCAGGAGGGAAGACACCCCTTTGCCGTTGACCTCCAGGTTGGCACAGGCCGACATGGTCTCCCCAGAAACATGAGCCCCGTAGATGGTGACCGAGAGGCTGTAGACCCCAGAGCGGGTAACGGTGAAGATACCAGTGCTCAAGCTGTAGCTGCCTCCCAGGATGAAGAAGGCGTGCTTGTAGATGATGATCCTGCTGTCATTGAAGGGGCCGAAGCAGTCTTGGTCGAGGCTCAGAGCAACTGAGAAGGCGCTGCGGCTGACTAGAAATGTAGACAGAAGAAGAGAAAAGTCAAGCTGGAGGTATGAGAAGTCGGTTTTTACTCTTCGATGGCATCCTGCTGTCCCTCAGTTTGTGTTACTCACAGATTCATCGCTCACCTGTATCGTTGAGGGTCCTCTTTGCGATTGTAAGCTCCGTTTTCATCGCTTCAAAGGTGTAGTTGAAGAACTCCTCCATCCTCCACATCTGCTGCTGCATCAGGCAACAGCCACACGGCAACATGTTCGACTCGCACTCTGTGTGAGCACAAACACACACACACACATTAATACATCAGGTCGTTAACACAGGGCACATGCAGATACACTGACACATGAAGAAAAGACCTGAACAATCTATCGCTCACTGTGGTTTTGGCTGGAGTCAACTGGCCAGAGCATTTCGTGATCAGGTCCAGTCCAGGAATATTTTTTACCATCATGTTTGCCAAAAGCAGCGTGGAGGAGACACAGCAGCACTACAGCTGGTGAACGAAGAAAAGTATTGATTATTAGAGGCATTGAGCCGAGTGTGACAACATCTGTTCCTGCCTGTTTGTAATTTTCAGACAAATGTAAGCTGCTTGACAAAATGTAACACACACATGTCAGACTCTTTTTAAGAAAAATGAATAGTTGAGTATTAAAATACACAAAAAAAGCCTGAGGGTTTATTTCCATTGTGGTCCTCTATCACAGTACAAAATGGCAGATCGAATAAGGTGTCAGGCAAGAGTGACATCAGACTAACACAAAAAAATAATGAAACAAAAAAAACAATGTATAGATTTACAAATTATTTAATAGCCATTTCTTGAGATCGGACCGTTCATGAATAAAGTCACACTATCATACTTCAGTATACTAAAGGTTAGTCTGCATTTTGTTTTAATATATTAAAAATCTTAACATGAAAACATTTCCTTTTGACCACAGCGTTTTTTATTTAAGTTTTTGCACAATAAGATACAGCTTTTTTTACATTCACATGTTGAACGTCTAGATGGGAAGTTGATGCTTTTACCACCAGAACAAGGTGAGTCAAGTTCTCTACATTGTCATTTCAACCATTTACAAAGTACACAGTGAGACGGCATGTTGTTCCTCTAAGGTCTGTGATGCTACATGAGATGATAAAGATTTAAAAATGTGAGACAGAACGTCCCTCTTATTTCCATATATTTTATGCAGATAACTACCACAGGTTTGTTATATTGATGTACATTTGGCTGAGTCCCCATTAACCACCACTTATGTTGCAATAGTTTAAAATGTGTATTTACAGACTCAGTGTGAGAAAGCACAAGATACTTTCCAATCTTCATCCGCTACTTCAGGATTGCACATTTTCTTTCCTTGCATTCATCATATATTCTGAATTTTTTGGCGAGTCAGAAGACAGCATGTTGTACAATCTTGACTTGAGACCTTTTCTAAGTACGACCTTTTACATCATCTCTTCTAAAGATGAATTTGCAGGTCCTCTAAATGCGTTTTTGTGATGTACAGAACTTCTACTTTTTCACAATTTGGATATGAACCACCCTTAGTCACGACTACTCTCACCATAATGTTTAAACTTTGCAGTCATAGAGTCAAAGCAGCCTGTAAAGCTCCAAAACATTCATATTCACTCTCACCTCTCATGATGATGCTGGGAAACTGTGATGGATCAGAAAGGATTGAAGGTGTGCAGAGCGAACATGAGACACAATTTATGCATTTATATTTTTCATGGAGCCCCTCCCTCGTTACCTCTCCATTTTTTAATCCTCTTCTTTACACATTGCTCCTCCTTGTCTTGTTTTTTTTTATTTTTTAATCTCCGCCCTTTAATCTCTAAATTCGGGCAATTTATTTCTAAATCGCTAGGGGCTCTCATTTTTTAAATATCACACACAGACACACACACACACACACACACACACAGACACACACAGACACACCCTCCACAGCTTTGTTTAGGAAGCCACCCTGGTGTCACTTATCTCTTGAGGTGAGGTGTTCTGTATCTGGAGCTCAGGTTTAACTTCTGCAGCCAATAATAACAGTGATACAGCTTTATTGATAAGACTAATTTTACTGTCAGTAAGGAAAATTAGAAGCCCAAAGTAGGCGGTTATTTGTCCGTCTTTCCTTGAACTGAAAAGAGATGAAGCGCTGACTAAAGTACTTTTTTTTGTTTGGATGCAACTACCAGATCTGGGGCTGACTGTACAGACGAAAAATGTATTTGTGCAAAGGAATAATCCAAGAAGACAGCATCTACAGCTATGTAGACTTTTATTTCTTTTTTAGGTATGTCACAGATTTCAATCACAGTTTTCATTACAGTCGAGCCAATGAGTGCCAGATTTATTCAAACACAAGTACTTAAACGATATGACAGGAATGAGTGGTGAGGAAAGCCCGAACAGAGACATCTTAACAACACAACAATTAACTTACATTTTTACTTTCCCTACATTACCAAAACATCAGGCAAAGTGTAGATGAGAGCAGTGTTTGGATATGGGTTATATCTGTTATAAAAATGCTAAAGAAATTGTCACAGTTGTAAGATTTCATGCATCACTCAACTCTAGTCAGGCGGGTGAGGGTTGTCGAAGCAGCTGAGCAGTGACTCTTCCCTAACTTAGTCAGTAGCATAAAGTAGGAAACCAGTGAAAGTGTTATAATGGCTGCTGTCATCGCAGAGGAAACATCCAATGGGAAGGTTGACAGCCACCTTGTCCCCAGCCTTCAGGTGGATGGCCATGACAATGGTGGCACTGTCCTCTTGGTCTTGCATATTTTTCTCTCTCGACCCTGCCACCACCAGTCCGTTAACCAGTAGCCCCACGCAGGCCGCCAAGGTGTTACCAGGAGAACCAGAATCGCTGTAGACGGTGACGGCGAGGCTGTAGACCCCAGAGCGGGGAGCGCTGAAGATACCTGTGTCCACATTGTAGCCTTCTCCCAGGTTGATGAAGACATGTTTGTAACGGATGAGCTTGTCGTCGCGGTGGGGGCCGAAGCATTCCAGTTTGCTCTGACTGGTTAGGGCGACAGAGAAGGCACTGCGGCTGGCTGCAGAGACAGAGGAGAGAGGGAACATGTGAGGATGCATTTGGAAAAGCGAACTGAGTCAAACTTGGTCAACACTCAAAACCAGCAACTGTGAAGACTTTGACAAGAACGATGCAAAGGTTTGAAATAAACAGCAAATTAGCTGCATTCTTCATTCAAAACTGCTTTTAATTGCAACCCAATACCAAGAGAGTTTTCAGAAACTTTAATGGAAGTATTCTGGTTTTTAATTGTCTTTTGACGCTTACTATAATGTGTATAAACCCTAAATTACATCTTCAAAGAGTGATTGAGGAGGTTACTGTAGCTTGTGCATTTATGTCTCACCTCTGACATTATTGAGGACCGTCTTTGTCTTTGTCAGTTCCTTCTCCAGCTCATTGAGGCTCATGTTGAAGAATTCCTTCATCCTGTGGATCTGCTGCTGCATCAGACAGCAGCCACACGAGGCCTGGTCCATAAGACACACTGAACACACACACACACACACACACACACACACACACACAGAAGAAAACAGAAAGTCAGTTTATTTGATTGATACATCTGATTAAAGTGCAACTGATGCAATGTGTATATCGGACTTCTAGCCATAGCTAATTTGCGGTCCTTGCCCCTGGTTAGGCTTTTAGGAAGTAACACACATGATACAACAACTCTGTAAAATCGACATAACAACAGACAACTGCAGCAGATATAGCTAGGCAGCGACATTGATTAGATACATTCAGACCATTAACTAGTTGGTTGGCAGTCTCTCACAATTTTCTGTGTTGGGATCAACAGCTCCACTGCCAGTGTCTCCAGGCCCACCCCAGGTATAATGTTTGGCCTGGATAAAGGCCGCCTCCAGCAAGCACAGCAATACAAAACCTGGGAGCAGAAGAGCAAATGCATATAGTACTAAAACCCAGAAAGTTTGCCAACATTGCACTCGTGTGAGAACAGAAGATATGACGGTCCGAAAGTCTCACTTTTAGTGATATATAATGAACATGTAGTCTTACCTCTCATAGTCAGACTGGAAACTGATGCTGGTTTCAGAAGAGCAGGAGGCGTGATGGGCCGATGCAGGGTCACACCTGTATATATATATTTGTCTTCCATCAGTTCTAGTCTTCTGGCTTTCAAACAGCTCCTCCCACTTTACCCTTACAGGCCACCTTTCTTTTCTTACCACCTGTACACACATATACATTTTCTTTACCTTTGATGGCTTTACACACACACACACACACACACACACACACACACACACACACACACACACACACACACACACACACACACACACACACACACACACACACACACACACGCACACACACATACACCTCCAGGGCTTTGTGTTTTAGAAGTAGGTCAGGTATCAACTATCTTCTAAGGCAACCTGCTTCTGAGTTCCCATTAGCACATAAAGACTATTTCCTGTGTTCACATGTGTAATATACGTGTCATTATGTATCACACAAAGTCAGATTGCAGCGCTGAAAAAGCAAATATTAAAGCTTCTGCATGGCGCCCCCTGTGGACAAAGCAGTACATATTACCTATTAGCTTTTCTTGTCTCGTGCATGTGGCAGTAACATTATATTAAAAAAAATCCCATCCTGCTTCCTTTAAACAGTTCAGTGTATCACTTAGTGAGTGCGTTTACATATCCTGGTTTTGATCTGTTTTTTAAGTATCCCGATTTTGTGTTTGTGGATGTAAACATGATTTTTGAGGAACCAGATTTCACTACCTGATGAACTCCAAAAGAAATCAGGATACTGTAAATGCTTTACCCCGGTTTCTTTACCACCCGCACATGGCCTCAGCAAAGTGCACCAGCAAAACAAAGATGGCGGCAGCAATGAGAGCGTCTTATTCTGGAATGATGAAGAAATGTTGGCATTTAATAGTGCTAAGCTCGCAATAAACCACAGTGGTCTCGTTTTTCTCAGATTTCTAAATTGCTGCAGTTTGTGTTGTAGACGCCTGAACAAATAAGATGCAGTAATCAGAAAACAGGATACTTGTATTTATTTATAATGTATACAAGGATATGAACAACTAGGTTTCTGTGTGCAGGTAAACACCATATCCTGAATGTGATGAAAACCAGGGGGAGGCTCTTAACGGGATACTAAAGTCCATGTAAACACACTAAATGTGAAATTTTCCACTGGACTAAAATGTTGTTTCTTCAGCTTGTTGTAAATCATCTTGTCTGACACCTATCCCGTCACAGCAGTAACAGAAATAGTCATAAATAATTTTTAAAAAGTCAGTGTTTGTCACTTTGATGGTCTTGTTTGCTAGTGGGTAATTCTGACGCATCAGTATTCATTTCAGTCTGTTTCATAACGAGGTAAAAACTCCTCTCAGGGGCTTCAACTCATATAAATCTGTTATGGAAGGCTAAACCAGGAAGTGAGCGCGAAGGGTGTCATGTGTTTGTGTTTATTGTTTTTCCACCAATCAGATTTTAAAATCTCTCATTTAAGATACATATTTTCACCCAGAAGCCAGCAGTGCTTTGTCCGCTTCTTTCTGACAACCTGTTGCCACCACATGTAAAATGAGAGCGTCATTGTCCCTCCATGAATAGTTTTGTATTACGAGAGTTTACTGGCACAAACAGAGGCTTATGAAGGTTTGGAAAAAGAAAGAGAGAGACTTACAAAATGTTGGCTCCAAGAGATAATAAGTGAGGATGTACCAACTTTGGTCAAATTGAATCTTTGATGGAACACAAATCCAGACTTTGCAGTGAGACAGTGTGCAGGAGTTTGCTTGCAGATTTTGGTAAATAAAAACAAGAAAATATCCAATATGGTGGCAATAGCTCAGTCTTTAGGGACTTGGGTTGGGAACTGGAGGGTTACTGGTTCAAGTCATGGACATAGTCATGGACAAAGTCTGGAGAGGTGCCAGGTAACTTCCTTAGTACATGCTGAGGTGCCCTTGAGCAAGTCACCAAACCCCCCAACGGCTTGAGCACTCTTTAATGTGCATGTGTTTTTTATTAAATTACAAAGAATAACTTTAGACAACAATACAGGCTTCAGACAGAATGATGTCATGAACCCAGACATTTCTAAACACCATCACATCTTATGTCATTTACAGAATATCATCACAAGTCAGATTCAGTTTAATCCAAAGGACAAATAGTCACTCCTGTCCCTACTCCTGCCCAGAACCTGAACCCTGGATACAGCGGACCTGTGAACTGGGTCTGGTAGCGGTGGATGAGTTCAGCCTGGTTCTTGGCAATGCGGTAAAAAGCTAGAATCCCTGCATGCTGGTCCAGATATACCCCGATTCGTCGGGCCTTAGGTGAGCCCAGTTGTTTTTCTTTGCCATCGTGCCAGAAGGAGAAGCCAGTCCCGGACCAGTACAAGGTCCAGGAGAGATTATTGTGGCCCAAACGGCTTGTGTCACCGGAGCCTTTACGCTCCATCTCCTTGTGGGCCACGCCGATGGTGATCTGTGGGGAGCAATGGATGGATGACATAGATTAGGAAAGTAAAATCTTGATGGGAAATATTTCATCATTAGACGTTTGTCAGTGGACAACATGTGCTCCCCAAAATCTCACTGCTTCTCATTTTGTTATTTTAGAATGACTTGCAAGAAGTGCGTCCCAAATAGAAGCAATATCAAACATCCAGCCATTATCTATGCTGCTTGTCCCGTTTGGGGTTGCAGGGGACTGGAGCCTATCCCAGCTGTCATTGGACAAGAGGTGGGGTTACACCGCAGGGCTTATCACAGGGCTGACATACAGAGACAAATATCAAAACACACTCACACCTAAGGGCAATTTAGAGTCACCAATTAACTCAGAAGGCATGTCTATGGACTTTAGGAGGAAGCATATGATGCACAGGGAGAACATGTTAACTCCAAGCCATGCCTTCTTGCTGTGATACAATGATGCTAACCACTGAAAAAAAAACATACATTAATTAAACATTAAATGTTTAATTTAAAGTAACTGTGAGGATCTTTACGTTAGAGTGGGTTTTGGCGCCCTCTGTGGACAAAGTATTTAGTGTTATATCAATGTTAATCCTGATTTGGTAATCGTTTAAAAAGTCTGTATCTGGATTTGGTTGATCCAAATCAGTTTTTCTGAGCTCAATTAGTTGATTCTTGCCAGAAAAAAAGTGGATTACCAAATCCGGATCATTCTCATCTGGATTAAACTATTATGAACAACTGGTCCCTGAAGTTCACAGTCCTTTGTTGGAGTCTAAAATTAGTGCTTTAATGTTATATTAACTTTCTTCAAATAACAAGGATTCCCCTGTAAGCTGAACGAGCAAACACCCTCGCTGAAACAACCCATCCCTCCTCTGAGGCCCCAGCGCTCACCTTCTGGCCAGTCCACTCCACCTCCCAGTAGTAAGGGCTCCCTGCGAGGGGCTCTGTGCAGACAACTTGTCTCCAAAAGTCGAAGCGCTCTGGATGGTCCGGTGGGTTCAGGTTCTCTGCCCGCATTTTGGCATTGCGACCTCCATCTGACAACTGCACATGGCGGTACACCGTGTTAGGGTCCATGGTGGGTTCAAAGCGGACTAAAGGAAGAGATGCATTTTAGTGAAAAACCTTGACCCTCATAAAGGTTTCACATTTCCTTCTTTCGTTTGTTATAAAATGTAGAAAATGAACGACTCACATTTCAGCAGTTCCCCTCTGGTCTTGGGGTCTGGATTAGCAAGTCCCAGTTTAGTTACAGGAGGTGCTGAAAGGACAAAACAGATTCATGGAATCAAAAGATTAAATATTTATAACCTCTTTGTCACCATTTATGATTTGGATGGTTACTATTTCTGCTATTAGTGTTTGTCAGCTTATAGGTTTACAAAATGTATGAATGGAAATTTAAATAGAACTATTGGTTGTCTTAATTTGCACGTTTTGTCGTTTGTTTGTTTTTTTAAATCAAAAGTCATGCCTACTTCACTTAGTGCTAACTGAAGGGTTGTTGTACCTTCAGGTTGAGGAGGAAGGTACGGAGGAGGGGGCGCTGAAGCTTCATGTCCAGAGAGAGAGAGAGCAGAAGAAAAGCAACAAAGGAGCTGATGAACTAAACATCACGAGTACTTGTTTTAAGTGCTTTAACAGGCTCTTCTTCTTACCGTGAAGACTTGCAGGCTGCAGAGATTGAGATTTGGGGGAAGACTCCTGACCTGAGTTGGGAAAATAGATAGATAGCGAACATGTTGACTCAAGGACGCACTTTCCAACAACCAGTATTACTACAGCTACATGAGCATTTATTCTATGAACGATAATCAAACAGAATATGAAGATTTTAAATTAACTCACCCTGAGATCGTGGTGGTGGCAAAGGTGGAGGGTCTGTTGTCATCTCATATACTAAGGAAAAAAAGTGCATACGTTGCAAAAACTCTCTTTTTAACAATGATTTTTTTCTTTAAATTGCAATGGCTTATTTTGTTCACAGGATTTTTACCTGTGTTTCTTGCACTGCACTGACGACTGTTATCAGCTGCAGTAGCGCTCCCTGCTGCTGCTTCTGTGCCGTTGGTTGTTGGAGCCACATGGTCCTGATTCACTGCAAAGAAAAGGAAAGTTTTGACTGACTTAGGAAGAAAAGAAAATGGAGTAAAACAACAAAAGTAAAGAGTAATACTGACATAATATGCAGATCTTGGCCACACTTGCTTTGCATTGCTCCTGTATTGCCTCTTGCAGTTCTTTGAAGGCAGAGCGGATGGAGGACACCTCTGCTTGATCCTGACTCAGGTTTGGCTCTCTTGTGGCACCAGTCTGACCCGGCAGCTCCATGGTGAAGAAATTCTTATACAAGTATTACAAATACAAGTATTACACTTTTGGTTTTATCAATGCTGAGCCTTATTCTTTCTTCATCCGTTGAAATCTGTTTTACCTTCAAGAAGCAGATGTGGTCCTGCATGCCCACCAGCCTGTTTAGTTCTTCACTCTTCCAGTGCAGCTGAGCCACCTCCTGCTCCAGGCTGTTGATCTGCCCCTCTACCTGGCTGCCCAAAGAGGCCTCATGGGTGCTGAGGAGCTCAACCACCTGGATTCCCGTTTGATTCACGCTCTTCACAAGCTCTGAGAACAAATCTGAGCTCTCTTGCTCTAGAGCCTGTACCAAGGCCTGGGATTGAAGCAGGAAAAGAAAAGAGCAAGGAGTGAGGGAATAGTAAGAAAAAAAAGAGGATGCAATGAATGTAATTGTGTTTATCATGAACAAAAAAACAAGTAACTCATAACCGCTTTTTTACCTTGTGTTGGCGGGAAACATGTGGAAGCACATTAAGCGTCTTTTCTGTGTCCCTGATTCTTCTCTGCACGTCAGCCTGCATTTGGACAAGCTCTTTCTAGAAACACAAAACATATAATTAAATTCTTAGAATACAAACTAAAAAAGAGAGGCATCTCATACCCACGCACATTTTGGAGTAGTAATTGCATTGGATTGAGCTGAAGTCATCGGTAAAGTTGCAAAACACTCTGGCCAGAAAATCCCGTTAGAGCAGGGAAATAACGCTTCCATGTTTGTTCAAGGGATACACAAAGCTGTCGTCTTACAAGAACTTCAAGTTCAGCCACATTTTGGAAATGCTACACATATGAAAGCACACTTCATGATTCACCTGCCGTCACTTCATCATATGCAGCAAGAACAAGACGACAGAAAAGACTAGAAACAGCAGGGGAGCAATGACATCATTAACCTGGTTATTTTAGTCTTGACCATTACGCACCTGCCTCGCCCTCCTTTCCTCATGCGGTTTGACCACACGATGTCCCTTGTGTCCTTGCTGGCAACATACTTCACACACACACTCCATGTCTTCATGGCAAAACAGGTCCATGGGTTGGTTGTGTTGAGGGCAGGGCCTGGGTTCCACAGTGGGAAGCTGAGGGTAAATGCTGCCCTGTCGTGCTGGTCCTCTGTCTGGTAGGACCTCCAGGTAGATTGGCATTGACGGTGGGGCAGAAGACCCAGCTGTGAAGGAGCTCTGCTTGAAGCTGTTGGTTCTGAGTTTCTCCATAGCTTCCACTAGCACAGTGCTCTTAGCCAGCGAGGGTCTAGGGTTGAAGACCTGCCTGCACTGGGGGCAGCTGTACTCACCTCTGCTGTCTCTTTTGTCCCAGTGGTTGTGGATACAAGCCAAGCAGTATGAATGTCCACAGGGCAGAGTGGCCGGGTCCTTCAGGGTGTCCAGGCATACTGAGCAGACAAAGGTCTCCTCTTCAGACCAGGCAGAGGCCATGTGGTTCAAGGTGAAACAGAGACTGAATAGCTTAATGTCCTGGAAGTCACAACTAGAAGTATGGACAGCCACAAAAAATGTTACAGAGTCCCTTTTAGTTTTAACAAAACAGGCAAGGATGATGAGACTGAAATGCCAGTTCACATGACTCACATGCTGCTTAAAAACTCAGGCAACCTGGGCTCAGGGTGGAGCTGGCAAAACAGGTGGGGTGAGGTTTTACTCTCGTTTATGTCACTCTTTTCCTGCTTCCCGGTTTCCTAAAATATACATTTGAGGTTAAATGGACTAATGGTTACTTTAGTTTATAGTGCTTTTAAATTAACACAAAATTAAATGTAGATACATATGCTATAGTGCTCAAAACACATGAAGGTGAAGTAATAGGCTGCTAAGAAATAAAACCTTCATGAAACGTAATGTAGTGGTATTTTTGAGGACAGACTGGTTTCTACACCTCTGGTTGATGAGTGATATTATTTAAATAATAATAGGATTGTTTTATCAATGAATAATGCTAACAAGCTGTCTCGTACACACCATCTTTAAGGTTTGCAGTAAAAAAAAAAAGCTAAACAAAGAAGAGATGCGGACTTGTGATGGCGTCATCACAGCGCAGTGAGGGCAACACTGACGCGCATGAAGCTACCTGACGCCATATTGACTAGTGGCAACCGGCTAGCCGGGCGAGAGGCCAGCTACTTAGCTATAAGGTGAATGTTTGACGTTTTGAAATGATGCGTACCCATGCTGTTAATATGTCTTCTGCACGCCTCTTTATTATCTGATAGACATGCTGGACCCCTTCAATTTAGAAGTTTCGGCTTATGATGTCAACCTAGCTTTGTGTGTGCTAGCCTTATGCTAACGTGGTAGCATGCTAGTTAGCCTGCATACAAGTCAGCTGTTGGTTTTTAAGACACGACTAAAACAATTGCTCGTATCTTATCTTGAGTTTAGAGCAGAGAAGTCTGACATTATACATTTGTCGTAATGGTATAGTTAAGTATGTTAAACTTGGTTAAGGCTGCTAACTTTCGCTTTAACAGAGTCAAAGCTAAAGTTTGCTGTGGAAAGTTGGGCACAAACAGCTGATCTGTGACAATTTGGGAAAATCAGTTTTGTATAATAAGCCTAAAAAGACGATTGATTGCGATATCACAGTATTATTACAGTACGTTCTGGTGAACCTTCAAGATCAGGTCAGCTGGGTTTTGACCTTCCCAAACAAGACTCAAAATCATCTGCTTCCTCCCCCTGCAGGTAGAGACAGGTGTTGTCTCGGGTTTAATTAACTAACGTGTGACCTATGCTTAATCAAGCCTGTCTTTGTGTGTTTCTGTTTCTCTTTAAAGGATGTTTCGGGGCCCTCAGATCCTGGCTTGGTCTTGCCCCATAAGACCTCTCCTGATAGTGAGAGAATCCCACCTCTCTGCGTTGTCCGAGTTCACTGGACCCGCAAGAGACTTAAAGGAGAGGAGATATGAGAGGGTCTGTGACAGTAAGGAGGGGTCTGAGACTGTATCCCCTCCAGTGCAGCAGCCTTTATGTAGCCTGAACTGTGAAACTCATCAGCTGACAAAAGCTTCATTTAAAAACCTCTTATCCAATGCTATTTTATCCAGCGCACACCACCCCTCTAAGTTTCCTGTATCTGTAAACGCCAAGCCAGTGTCTGATTCTTTGAAATGCACTTTTGTGAAAGATTTAGATAAAAATGTCAAAGCTGTGAGCTCTTACCCAGACTGTTTGGTCAACACAACATGCCTTCGACCCCGGGGAAGGCCTTGGGACATTTGCCAACCTTCACTCCTTCTTACCAACAGGAGTCAGTGCAAACTTCCTCACAGCAATCTATATTACAGACATCACTTAGTTAGACCTTTAAGCTCGTGTACACGTACACAATGGATATTGAACCACTCTCACAATGGACCGCACCCCTCCGTCCTCAAGTTTGACCAAGACAGAGCTCTTCATCAGGCGGCCCCTCATGAAGCAGATCCCTGGAAATATTGTCTATCCCTGGAGAATGAACGCAGGTGTCGACAGAGACTGGCGCCCAACTTGAGTCTATACGATCCGGACAAGATAAAAATAGGACAAAGTCAAAGCAAGGGAAAGAACCAGGAGAGATGGGCTGCAGTCCTGGTCTCCCTCTGCTCTGTCGATGGGGAGCCGGCTTTTCTCTTCACTCTGCGCTCCAGCATGCTGAAGGGCCGGCACAAAGGAGATGTCAGGTTAGTAGAAGGCTAGAAATGTGAAAAACACATTGCTAGTAGAGATCTGTATGTGTCCTCATTTTCCAATCATTTGCAGCTTTGCAGGAGGTAAGAGTGATCCGTCAGACAGAGACGTCGTGGACACAGCGTTGAGGGAAGCCAGGGAGGAGCTGGGCGTCACTGTGCCAACGGAGAGGGTCTGGGGCACCCTGAAACCTCTCAGGGACAGGGTGAGTGCAAGTGCTGGTTAATTTTAATGTATGCAATGTGAGGAAAGGATGAGCTGTACTTACTATAGGTGTGAATGCAAACTTATTGCGGATCGAAGAGATATCACAGTGTCAGTTTTTTCCAAAATCATGCAGCCCTTCTTCATTCTCTTTTCTGCTCGTGAGAATGGTGTCTTCATTAATGCGGGGAATTACACGTTAGTGATATAAAGGCTAAACACTGTCATCAAAGTGACAGTCTCTGTTGCCTTGTCTGCCATCTTGGAATGCTGCCGCATCTCTTTCATGTCAGGTTTTATGGTGCATTCATGTCGTGTCGGACACATCAGAAAAACGAGTTTCCGAGTTGAAAAATGCACATGAACACCTGCTCAAGTCGGAACAACAAATCGGAAACTCAGAAAAGAATTACGCGCCTGACTTCCCGACGTATGCACATCAACTTTTTGCTCAATTATAACTTTTACCAGTAACATTTCACTTATCATCTTCGAAGCATCAACGCTATTTTTTGCTGTTGTTTCTGACTTTCTGAACTGAAATCATGTGAACACACCAAAGTCAGAAGAACAACTTCCAAACTCAAGAACTTGGACCACCCGAGCAGCACATGAATGCAGCATTAACCTTCCCGACCCACCCCTGTCCAACAGGGAAAACTTTCCCACACCTGCTGTGAGGGACATGTGTGAATAAGCTACTGAGGAAGATTTGAGCTGCATGTTTTCTCCGGAGTGCATGTGTGAAACTCGCTGTTTTGTTGCTACTGATGCACCATTTTAAAATTGTTTAATCTGATAAACGATTGTTTGGATTAATCATTCATCAATCAAAAATATCAAACCCAAAATATGTGATATGAAAATGGTAAATAGTGCTCATTGAATAGCTCCAAGCGTTCATGATAACATTGTTAAAATGGAAATCTCACCAAAATAACAGATTATTCTGCATCTTTTATTTTTCAGCAGTTTTGACGTTTTTGTCAAGATTTATTGTTTGGGCTTGTTAATGCCTTTATTGTAGAGACAGGACAGTGGACTGAGTAGAAATCAGGAAGAGAGAGAGAGGGGGGAATGACATGCGGGAAAGGAGCCACAGGTCGGATTTGAACCCGGTCTGCCTGCTTGGAGGACTATAGCCTCTGTAAATGGGTCGCATGCACTAACCACTAGGCTACCGGCGCCCCAAGTTTGATCATTTTTAACACCAATCCCGTCTCTGAATCTGATGCTCTTTGTGTCGTTGTCTCTCTCACCAGTCGGGGATGATCATCGCTCCCGTGTTGGCTAACCTCGGCCCTTTAGAGGACTTATCCTTTAAACCAAATCCCGGAGAGGTATTGTCATTCTACCCTTTGTCATGAGTGAATGTCGTAATGAGTGTGCTTATATTTTTATTGTAAAATTTTCTGATCAGATACAAGCAGATGGCAGATTTTAGAAGTTGCTTATAGAAGTATAACATGCAGTCTACATCATTGTTTCACTTTCAACAAATGATCTCCTGGACCAATGACCTGATTACTCAATGTCACAACACAGACCCAAACATGTTTACCTATTTACAAAAACAAACGCCTTCATTGGCAGATGCTGATAAACAAATGACTCCACCCTCTAGTTTCTTTCTTTACATACAACTCTTTCTAAACTGCCCTTCCTGTCTCTGCTTCACTTCCAGGTGGAGGACATTTTCACCATGTCTTTGTCCCACCTGTGCAACCCTCAGAACCGAGGCTACACAAACTTTCGCACCGGTGACAAGTACGGCTACACTCTGCCAGTGTTTCGTAACGGGAAGTATCGAGTGTGGGGTCTCACAGCTATGGCTCTAGACTACACCCTGAAACTCGTTGTCCCTCGTTAGCAGCTCATTCGCAGCTAATCCAGTTTGAAGTTCAGTTTTTCGGTACCAAAGTACACCCTCAACCTTCATGTGACTGAAAGATCTTAATGTGGAATAAAATGTGCAATCAAGCTTTGTTCAAAAATACCATGTCAGGAATCACTGAATATAAAATATGGTTATTTCTGAAGATGAATTTTGTTTCTCTCTGCAGCAGCACAGTTAAGAGGAGGGTTTTTTTTCCTAGCGATGCACACACTGAGTGATGGATGTGTAATACAGAGCGGTGGCCAGCTGATAAAGTGCAGGTGCTGGAAGTCTTTTTAAGAGGAGCACCTGATTGGTTGAAACCCATAAACTACCAGTATTTTCAGTATAATCGACCGCTTACATTTCTTTGAATGCTCACAACTAATACACTGTGGAACACTGAAAATGACCTTACTGTCACTTTATTGTGAGCGAACAACACGTTTCGCCCAAACTTCAGCCTCCGTTCTTGAAAAATGAAGCCAATGCGGAAGTGCAAAATCCTGCAGGTCGCCCAAGTGTCCACTTGAGCCTGGCTCTAGGAACACCGGAAGTCACAAACACACCACAGCCTAAAACACACGATTGACAGGCGGGCGCTGTGTAACGGTTTGTCAAGAGGCTTAAAACCCTCCTCAGCTCCAGCTCTCAGCCTGCCGTTGGGTTGAGACAGGATTTCCATCATGGCGGCTGCTGCCGATGAGCCTCCAGAGCCCCCTGCAGGAACAGATGGCTGACATCACTCAGGCTTCATCCGTTAATATTTACAGTCTATGGATTCACCTTTAGCTTCCTTACAGGAGAAATGTGTTGTCCGCTCACCATGAAGCGACAGTACAGTCGTTTTCAGTGTGCCACGATTTATTTATGTTTTCATTGTATGTTCCTGCGACCGACCTGCACGTGCGATCGTAGGTTGGCTGTGCACAGGAAACCCTGTTGGTCGTTTAGACGTCGTTAATTCAATTTGAAATAATTTCTACCTTAAGTTATCATTTTGAGGATATAAACAAACAAGTTAAACTGATTTATCTCTGAGAGAACCTTTGCCATATGAAGCTCGTATCTCTGATTCAGCACCCGTCCATTTTAATCCTCCACACACTCAAATCTGGACTGTTCTCTCGACAAGCACTGAAACAATTAAAGCACAATGTGTGGTGTGATAATGGACAACACAATAAAGGTAATTTTAAGAAATTCTCTCTGTACTGGTCGGAGGTGAGATTTGTTTTTTTATATCATAAATCAAAGCAATAAATAGTGAGGAAATATTTTTGCTGGTTTCTGAATCTAACTGAAATAAATCTTCTCATCCCTCTGAATCTTCAAGATTTTACAGTAAAATAGCTACACATACTGTAAACCATTTAATACATGCACTGAAGGATTTTTAGGGGAGGGTTGCAGTTAGGCTTTCACACAACAAGTCTTAAATGCTCTGGATCTATTGGTAAAGACCAGTCCCTCCAAATGCAGGTCTTCAGGTCCTCATCACTTCTGCATATGGTGTGTCATCAAACTGGACCAGGTTGTGGGTGATCATCTCACACTAAGGCAGCGAGCACTCCATGGGGTCCTGTGAGTCGGGCAGGAGGTGACAGTTGAAGGGCCAGCTGAAGGAGAAGAGATCCAGCGTGTGGCTACATTGCTGCTGAGCCGAGGAGCAGACAGAGCGGCACGGTTGGAGGACGCCACCCTGAGGGCTGCACTGGGGCAGAAACATCCCGCACACCAGCGTCCGCAAGGGCTCGAAACAAGCCAGCTCCATCAGCACCTGCACGACAAAAAAGAGGTAAGAATGAGGTGAAACAGCATGTTGAAGAAACCGCTTTCTGTTTTTTCTGACATTGTTGATGCTACCAGCAGGTAGCAGCAAAACCTTTTAGTGTCTCTAATGTCCATTAGTAATTTAAAGCTCCTGTGAAGAGTTTTAAGCCGGTTAGAAAAATGACTGAAATTCATAATGTCTCTATATGATCAAATTAGACGATCAGCGACAAGACTGATTATATCTATATAGTTACAATGTCTGAAAACTCTGCTGCAGGGTAGGTGTCAGACGGTGTTGTGTTGTGGTCCAGACCACACTAACCAAGACCAAGTCAAGACCAAGACCATAAAGATCACTGATAAATCATCATCTTGTGTGCAGCGGGCATGTCACTTAGGCTATTTAGACCGTAACACAGGGAGAGTTGCTGCTGTAACTGGGAGATAAAAATTGAAATGTGAAAGAAGTGAAGTAATTTGTTCTTTTAGAAAAAGGCTTTTTCTTTCAAATCACAGTAATGACATGGAAAAATTGCCTATCAGTGGTGGTTTTGACTGGCTCATTTAAAATCCGGAGTCCGCCCAGTCTGAGGCAATATCAAGTAAAAATGCTTTCCATTCTGAGATGAGACCGAGACCTTCAAAATGTGGTCTTGAGACCAAGACCGATTTCAAGTACTAAAACACAAACACAGTGTGATTAACAGCTAGCAGCAGACTCTTGGACATGTTCAGGACAAAATCAGCAAAGAGATGAGACAAACAAGGGTCATCAAAGACATCACAAACTTAAAGTTCATGAGAAGAGCTTTAAGGTGGTGATTTAAGTAAGAAGCTTTTACCTGGTATGCTCGCAGGAGTGTGGCAGCTTCCTTCTGGTCAGCAATAGATAGCCAGATGTTTGGGAATGAGGTGAGGTTGTAGCTGAGGCCATGACACATCTCCACCTCTATCGACTCGCATGAAGAAGCTGGAGGCATGCAGAACACAACTCATTACTTTTCTGTCATTTGGCTTTCAGAGTACAAAGAAAGGCTTATTTTTCCTCTTCTTTGGCAAGTCACTACAAACGTTATCTCTGGTGAGTTTTTTTTTTTCTTTTAGAGAGATTTCCATGTGAACATTACTGGCTTTGGAGACAAAAACAGTAGCTCTAAGTGGGACTCTGATTGGGGTCACAGATAAAAAGGACTCACTGAACAGAGGGTAGGTGGAGTTGCTGCAGTCCTGTTCATCTGCTCCGTCAGGGCAGTCGTTCCATCCATCACATAACCACTGCTGCTGAAGACACTCCCCCGTACTGCAGGCAAACTGGCTGGGACCACACGTCCCTTTGAACAAAGAAGAATACACAAAACAAACTGGTTACAGGCGGCAAAATGGGACATGAAGAACGAAAAGAGAGGCATGAAGGAAAACTGTAATGGAAAGAATGGGGGGGCGTTTAAAGGAGTCGGGTATGAATGGTCAGATTTTTAAAAGCATAAAGTCAAAAAAAGAAAAAGTTACAAGGTGTAAATATTTCATTGTAAGACAGAAATCAAGATGAAGCAGACAGCAGAGCTAAACTCGACAGGTGATGTAAATGACAGTGAAGAAACATGCAACTACACATTATTTTTTCATTTGAAATAAATAACATTCAAGTCTATCGATCGAAGTTAACTAGTGGCCATCCTGCAGCCTTGAAACAACAAGGCCCATGGCAAGGACAGACGCCATCTAGTCAGGAAGGTGTAAAGAGGGAGCAGACCAGCAGGATGGTGGGCATGTGGGAGCAGGGAATGTGGAACCTGGACTGAACCACGGGGTCATGGTCATGATACGGGTCATGGTCCAAGCTGTTTATGACGTCCTACCTAGCTTGGTAAGCCAGACCAGCATGTTCTCTATGCTGTGTGCAGGGTTCACTTGAACACATTCTGAGGGGCCGCTATCACTGACAACACAACCAGGTGCCCAAATCAGAGGCAGAGACCCTCTTAAAGCTGTGGCCAATAACAAGCAGGTCTGAAGCCAGAGGTACATGGCCTTTCTCAGGGATGGAGAGCAGCTGTAGCCACCGGCATCACCAGCCACCGGCCTGCTCAAATTGACATCGGACTGGGAACTATGTGTGCGAATAGACTTGGGCACGCAGCTCAAGTTCCCTGACCGCATTACGCCAACTTATTGTAGCCAGATGTGTCTCTTCAAAGCATGTGCTCCTAATAGAGCTGGCCGTCCTCTGGAAGGACCGCATGGAAGAGGCTAATGAGCACAAGCGGTTAAAGTAACAGGAGCTGGTAGAACGGCGTCTGAGGAGAGGCTGGAAAGCGAGCTCTGAGCCCATCGAGTTTGGGTACAGAGGCTTTGCTGACCATGCACTATGCAAGGTCTACACCCTGCTTGGCGTCAAAGGACCTGCCAAAAGGAGGGCTATCAAGTCCACAATGGAGGCTGCAGAGAGGGCTTCTAGGCGATTTTGGATCAGGAGGTGCAAACTGAGGTTCAATGCAGCCGGATCAACCCTGGCCATGCTGCTTGACTGAAGGTGCCAGATGTTGTGAGACCAGAAACATCCACTGACCTCATGAAACATCCCTGATGACGTGTCCCAGTGCATCCTGGGATGTGTCTTTGAACAGTCTCAAAGATGTGACGTGAGGATCAGTCAACCTGTACTTATTAGTATACAAGTTCAAACATGACTTCTACTTTTACCAGAGACTTTTGGCACAGATATCTGTACTTTCACTTGATTGAATACTTTTTGGATTGTTGCCCCCCTTTGCAAATAGAGGTAAGACTTAAAGATATGAAAAGAAAGGGACAAAGGTGAATCAGAGGTGAAGGAAACAACAGATGGCACTTAGATTATTAAGAATTAGCCTTACAAATGCAAGAACTCACTGTCCAGCACAGACACAGCCTGGTACGTTGCATTGAAGCCGCTGTCTGCCACTCCCTCATCAGCCACAAACAGCACCGTCATGTGGGGCCCAGAGGAGGTCAGCTCAGGAGGGAAGGTGTTACCACAAAACCTGAGACAAAGACAGACGAACAAAAGCCGCAGCAGAACTTTGTGATTACATAACTCGAGCATTCATCCTTATTTACCCTCAACATAATGGATTTCCACAACAAGGATTAACTTCATTATTGTACATTTTAATCCAACATCTGGGGAGGGCTCTCACCTTCCCAGGACTCTTCCAGCTCCGGGATCGGCGCTGTCGTGCACCTCCACATAATCAAACTCGCACACATCCTGAGTCTCTAGGCTGAAGTTCCTGAAGCTCAGTGTGATGACGTTCCCCTCCTCGACGGATATGTACCATATGCAAAACTAAACGGAAACAAAAGAACAAGAGACGAGTGAAAACACACAGGCCTGTTGAAGGCAGCTTTGAGTGTATTGGGCAGTTTAATGTTCACCTGCTGGTGAGGATAAGGCTTGGGGTGGTTTGGACTTGACAGGTAGCCTTGTGGCTCGGTCTTCTGCCCGCCGCATTCTGGGACAAAACAGACAAGAAACAATGTGCATTAGTCCACTCTAGTTCATAGACCTTTTCATGTGTGTTCCATGTTAGATCAACTCTGTCTGTGAACTCTCACCTTTGTGTTTATGGCTGCAGTTCGCCTCGTCTGATTGGTCCTGGCAGTTTGGATGACCGTCACACACAGACACAGGCAGCAGGCAGCGACCACCATCACACATGAACTCTTCTCTGGAGCAGCTCTCTGAGGAAACACACCGCAGAAAACACGCACGGATGCACATGAATTCAAATGGATAGGAGTGAATGTATTTATTCAGACACATGCACACTACTGACTGTGTCCAGGCAGTATGGCCCTGTACTGCGCCGTGAAGCCGCTGCCTGTGATGCTGCCATCAGAGCGGAAGGTGACCCACACCGCGCTGCTGTTTGTGTTGACTGTTGGCGGTGCTACGTTACCACAGAACCTGTAGGAGAAAAAGAGACATCTGTTCATTATCCGTGACTTTTCTTTGATTAATTCTCTCCACTCCTCTGAGCTCTGCACTGTTCTGTTTTAAATTCTCAAAAGGATTCACGAGAAAGGCACTTTTTATTAAATCCACAAATCATGCCGAGTGTGAGAAAGCCAAAGGAGCAAAGTTTTTAAATGTCCAGAAATATAAAAATAAGAACCCTGTTGAGCCCAGAAGTATACTCTCCAAATACGCAAACACCTTTAGTGCCATCTAGTGGCAATTTAAGGTAACAACATGGCACATAATAAAGTCAATTTTTTAAGAGTGAGTTAAACATTTCTGAATAATTCAGAAACATTAAAAAGTCAATAATGCAAATGTAAACTTTCAATTTATTAGAGACCACACATCAATAGTCAAATGCTTCCTCTTTAATTTGTAAATTCCTCCAAAAGATAGGCACTACTTTGTAAGTGAGATAGAGATGTAACGATTAACATTTTATGCGTTTTTTATTTTTTTTAAGTGTGTCAGTGAGTGCCTAATGGAACCCTAATTACATTTTCTTGCACATATTGGGCCATGAGAGGGTGATGGGGTGGTCGAGTGGAATATTTTATCATCCACAGAGGGCACTTTTGACTTTTGCAGCAACAACTCCACTGGCTCCCTGTCAAATATTGTATCGATTTGAAAATTCTCCTCCTCACTTTCAAGGCTCTCCATAACCTCGCTCCTCCGTGCCTTTTTGATCTCCTGCACACATACACACACCTTCCCGGAGCCTCTGTTCAGCCTCCTCCATGCTCCTCACCACACCTCCTCTCTGCCTATCATCAATGGGGGCACAAGCCTTCAGCCGAGCAGCCCCCCATCTCTGGAACTCTCTCGCACTAACCATCCATGACATCAACTCTCCCCCCACCTTCAAATCACACCTCAAACACACCTTTTTAGAATAGCTTACTCTCTCTCTGACCACGCCCTTCTTTCTATTGCTGTTTTTATTTTTATTTATGTAGTTGATTGTGTTCTTGTTTTGTATTCACTGTTTTCTTTCTCTGTAAGGTGACCTCCAGTGACATGAAAGGTGCCCAAAATAAAATGCATTATTATTGTTATTATTATTATTATCATTATTATTATTATTATTTTCAGTTCACCAGTGATTAAAGGAAACATGGAGGTCTGACCAACCTGGTAACCACAGAGCTCTGCTCCCTCTGCTCTTGCACCTCAAGCCAGTCGAACAGACAGGGAGAAGGCCCCTCTATGGTCAGAGAGGAAACATGGATCTGGACCAGGAAGGGGGGTGGGACTCGGATCACCCACAGACACAGCAGGTTTGGAGGGTAGGAGCCAGGGTAGTTTGGAGAACTGAAGCTTCCCTCTGAGTCGGTTAAAACTCCTCCACAACCTGAGAGAGCGAAAAGGAACACCTTCTTTGACTTATGCACTGAAAGAAAATCCTGCAAATAACAAGCTTACTAGTTGATGATGGACATGAAGTTAATCATGTGCATTTAATTGATCAGATTATATCGTATAAATGACCATTTTGCTTGAATCCCGTACGTTTTTCTGATGGTGGGATCCTAGCAGGATGGGGTGAAGCTGTGATGTCCATTTGACTTCTGTTAGCAGGCATTGTGGGTAACGTAGATGCTCCATCTCCGGCACTCTGCAGGTCTGGAAGGCTGGTGGACAACATCTGATCTTCCACTTCCTGGCCTTTTATCTCTAAATCAAAGACAGAAAACACAATCACATGATGCAAACATGGACATAATAAATGATCACTGAAGAAACTCATTTAAAATAAGAAAAGCTGTCACTCTGGAATCAAACTTCAAACTGAAGCCTTTCCAATTGGTCTTTCTTTTCAGTTGTGCCGATTTAGAGGGGTGACTCACGTGTGAGGATGAGGGCCAGTGCCAGTCCGATAGCTGTCAACAGGAGCAGGGCAGCGGCAGAGATCACCACAACACCCCATCCACAACCAGGGCCCCGCAGACGCATCGCACACACACCGAACACACCCCAGGCCAGGTCTGAATGACAGATCACAAACACACACATAAAAAGTGTCACAAATGCAAACAGTGTTTACTGTCAAAGAAGACCCACAGTATGTTGACCTGAGTACTTTTTTTTGTGACACATTTAGAAAACGTGCCATTTCATTAGCAATCCCTCCTATAGATAAAGTTCATCATGAATCAAAACAAACACTACAAATTAAATAAGACATTGCCCAGTTTTGCAAAGAGATGAAAGATGAAGCCACTGTCTTATTTTGTTTGAGGTGTTAATTCAATTTGCTCCTCTTATTGTAACGTCCGTGTTAATTCAATTTGCTCCTCTTATTGTAACGTCCATGTTTGTTTCCTGATCGATAAAATATAAATCAAAATGCCCTTTTAGTCATTTTAGTCCTTGTAAGGAATTTAAGACAAAACCTATACCCTGCATGTCTCTCATATTGGAACTAAACCTTTCATTAGACTCTTAACTGTCTAGAAAACATCCTCGTCTGTCAAACACTATTCCTGGATTTTCCAATATACGCTTTTCTCTATAATTGTAGAGAATGTGTGCATTAAGACACTTTCAGGCTTGTTTTCTCTTTAAAGAAAGATCCCACTCAACCACAAAGACAGACACCTCTGATGCACAAACCTAATTTTGTTTTTTACTTGTAAAACTGTTGAATTGCACCTTTAATCCTTGATTTAGGTAATCAGATTCACAATGTTTTACACACATTTTCTGACCTTTCTCAAAAAAAAAAAACTGGAGGGAAAATTGGCCACAAAAATACTTCTCGTCCAACAAAAAAACATATTCAAATGTGATAAAGTTTAGTTTCAAAAAGCAGCAAGCCGACTGGCTGACTCACTTGCTGTTGGTGGTTTGATTGGTTCAGGGGTGGATGATGACGTCCTGAATCCCTCCACCCTCTCCTCTCGCTCCCCCTCCAGCTCAAAGGCAGGGTTGCAAAACACATTCTGCAGAAAGGAGAACAGAAAATAAATACAAACAATTTATTTATTAAAAAAAGGTAGTTGTAGAAGATGACGTTTGTGAACTGTGACCTCTGGAGAAAGTCATGTTCCGTCTTCTTTCAAATGTAAGGTTTAATTCACCAACACATGTTAGATCACGTCATCATGTTAAGGGTCTTTTTTCAACAATGTTACCTGGTCTGTTAGCTGAAGTTTGAGTAGTTTAGATAAATTCACGTCTAATGACCATTACTGAGTCAATTCACTTCAAACATTTTCTAATCCAACATATCGGAACAGCTATAAACTGATTATTTTGGCTACTTTTAGACAGTAGAAAGAGGTCTTAAACACAACAATAGTTTAATTCTAAGCAAACAGTCGTTTATTTGCATATCTAGTAGTTAGGGAGCAACATTATCATTGATTTGTTGTTAGCTGATTGGCCAACTGGGAAAAATACTGATGCTTACAAAGCTCTGTCTGCCATTGGTGCATTTGTTTAAAGGAGCAGTATGTAACTCTGACACCTAGTGTTTAAAAGGGGTACTACAATCCAAATTCAAAACATTGTCGAGAGCTGTCTCCCCCCCTCCTCTCTAGAGTCGATGCTCACGCAGGTTGCCACGTGGTGGTCACTGAAGCTTCAGTGTTTATCCAGCTCTGCATCGGTCTGTAAACCTTTCTGTGTTCTAACCTCTCTCCATTTTTCAAAAGCATCTCCAATATTGATCCTAGTTTGAGCACGTTTCTGCTCGTGGAGCTTATTAGAAACATGCAGAGGCTTTTTAGGTCGGGTACAATCACTTCTATCTGAACCACTTCTCTTGCCCGCTTCCATCACTGCAACACCTGTTGGTTTGACCTGATAACTGCTCTCATATCTAAACTTCAACTACGAGTACGACTAAACAGATATGAACTGGCACAGCTCGGCTCGGCTCCATGTCTACAGGGCTTGATTTAAAGAATAGTAAAACACATTCTGAGTAAAGATAAAGAAAATGTGACTTCATATAAAACAAACATTTAAACAGCTGTTCAGGAAAGGTCCTAAAGGGTTAAATTTGCAAGATTAGTATTGAACAATATACTGATAGTCGTCTTAATAACTGTGTTCAAAGTTTACTACTCAACATCTTTATTTAACATCTTCATCCGTCTCGTTATCCTCACCCACCTTGTAAATATCTGAAGAGTCTGAGTACACTGCAACTTGGCTGAGGTCAGACATTTTTAGTCCGCTGCCACTCGTTCTTTTTAGAGAGTCTGATGTCGTGATGAATTATCCCGTGGTGGCCACATCGTGAAGAGAACTGAAGCTTCATACAGGGCTGTTAAAACATGACGTTTCTTAAAATTTTTCACCTTTTCACTCCAAAAGAAAACTTCCACTAGCGTTCCTTAAGCTTCCGGCCTTCGCTCGTCCAGCCCAGCAGAGCCCAATGTTGGACATCCATCAATGTAACCCAGATAAAAATGAAAAAAACAAACATATAATTCACATTAGGAGAATTGTCGAGACAGCCATATTGTCCTCTGCCACCTCTCCCTGTTTTAGCAGCATCGACCTGAACTTCTCTTGATTTCTGAACGCAAGTGGTTACAAAAGACTTGTTAGAAACTCCTTCACAGTGTTGAACAAAGCCGAGTCAGCTGAGAGGACTGAGCCGCCAAGAGGAGGGGGGAAGGGGAGAAAGGATGGGGGTGAAAGTGTAGGTGGGGGTCCTTGTTAAATCTCGATAATCTCCGCAATGATCCTTTAAGCTCATAAAATGTTATTCACACGCATGTTTGCTTGGACAAAACCTGAGTGAACAGGTGCACAAACACATTAATACAGATACACATGACCACCAAACACCACAAACACCTAAACGGTGTCACTGTGTGGCAAACCAGGGGAAACAGTCCATCCAATCCAGCACAGGGGGGCAGGACCCCAAGCTCAGGCGAGTGGAGGTGAGCAGGGTTCTACCCAGTTCAGGTGCTGCAGCCTCTGGACACATGGCATTGGCACACCTGTAGCCCATCAAAGTTTATTTAACCACCAATCAAAAATGAAAATAAAGGGATCAAATCTGTGCTCTGTCCAAAATTGCACAATCCCTCATTTCCCGGATCGGATCCTCTGTGTTAATGGATAATCAGTCATCAAATAAAGCGGCTGACTGCAGGTCGATTTAGACACTCTTGCTGTGGTTTCTGTGGTTTGGTCGCTCAAAGACACAAAGGCCACAGAGCTCAGTCATGTATGTCAAGCCTGTACTGTGGATCTTACTCCTCGTCTCCGTCCAGGAGGGTGAGCCTAACATTTTTTGTGTTGCATTTACTGTCATTTCAAGTGTGGTTATTGGCATTGTTGGCGTCTGTGTACACATGTTTATAACGACCACTCTGACTGTTTGTGCTCCAGTGTTTCTGCAGGAATCTGAATATGATTATGGAACATATAAGGATCTACAGCCTCTCAACTGCTCGACAACAGAGAGCATTAAAGGTGGACATGTCACCTACTCACAGGTAAACAAACACCTGAACAGTGGAGCTGAAACTGATTGACATACACTTCAATTCACACAAAAAATTTATGATCTATTAATCATTGTTTAAAACGTAAAAAATATGTTCTGGTCATGGCTTGGATTTTCTGCTTTTCTTTCTTTAATCATCTTTAAATTGAATTTCTTTCTGAATTTTACTTTAATGACCGGACAAAATAACAATCTGAAGATGTCATGCTATACAACAAGAATTCCTCAATCATTATTTATTTTCATACCAATTTTAATTTACATCCTGCAGTGTCAGAGTGTTAGGTTGTAAGTTTTTACTCTAAGAGAAAGATTGCTACTTCTACTTTGTTTCTGCATAATTTAACTTCCCTAACAGTGTTGTTTTTCTTGTACTTAATGGTTTATTTATAGAGTTACACAATTTCAGTTAAAGTGGTTAAAAATAGTTGTGTGAGAAACTGAGAACAGAGGAGATAAACGGCTTAACAACAGCAGTACAGGGCGACAAAAAACCAAAGACTGTAAATACTAATGTTTGAAGCTGAGTGACGTCACACATCTGTTCCTGCAGGGGGCTCTGGAGGCTCATCGGCAGCAGCCGTCATGCTGGAAATCCTTCCTCAGCCTAACTTTCAGTCAACCTAACGACAAGCTGAGAGCTGGAGCTGAGGCGGGTTTTAAGCCTCCTGACAAACTGTTACACTGCGCCCACCTGTCAGTCATGTCAGCTACGCGCCTAACTATGGATAACACTTATCGTTCATAAAATCAAAATGGATGGGTTGTAAAATAATTAACTCCCCATACAGTGTGTGCCCAAGAGGACAATAACTAATCAAACAAATATTTTTGAACCAGGGTGTAATCATGTTAATTTATCCTGTTAAAACATGCGTTCTTGAATGGGGTGCGTATGTGACTTCTAGGGTTCTTGGAGCCAGCCTCAAGTGGACCCTCCACGAACTGCAGGATTTAGCACTTGCACTCAAACACTGCAACTCAAAGGTCTTAAAGGGTTTAACCAGCCAAGTTTCCAGGGACAGAATAAAGGGCAAAATAGAGGATGCATATTGTTTTAAAAAAAGGATCCGTCAGTATGATTCCTGGAAATAAAAAAGAAGAGAGACAATACTGAAATACTGACGGTTCAATCCCTTTCATGATAAAAAGGAACTATACCATCTGGAAAGTGACACAATCTCATGTCACTTAATTTAGCTCCAGAAGTGACCATGTGTTTCCTCTCCAGGGGGGAATGGAGGGAAGTGTGCTGTCCTATCACTGCGCCTGGGACGATACCCTTCCCCGGTCAGCTACAGGACCTGCAGTGCAGATGGGGAGTGGTCCTCCATGAGATTACCAAGTGGCCGAGAGGTGTCTCGTGCTACATGCAAAGGTGATGTTTTTTGAGGGTGAATGAATTTAGGTCTCCTCTGGTTAGAGTCTGTACTTTGATTTTCATACTTCACTTATGTAAAATGTCCTCATCTGCTCGTCTGTCCACCGTTGTCAAAATCCCAGATGTGTTGTGTCCAGCTCAGCTCCAGTTGGATCATGGAGACTTATGGCCCTGGGACCAGTGGCTCCATGTAGGGGCCACGCAGAGCTTCTTCTGCCAGGAGGGGTTCATCTTGTCTGGTTCCGCCCAGAGGAACTGCACCTTGACAGGAGAGTGGACGGGAACTACTCCTGTCTGTGAGAACGATGGTGAGGACAGACAACTTTGTGTATGATTAAATTAAATACAAACATGGTTACATTTCTCTTAATGAGTGCAACAGAGAACTACTGAGAACATCAGCTTACGAGGGTCTCTTAGGTGTATTAGAGCGAATAATTGTAGAGCGAGCATGCTTGGACTAATCTCGCACTTAAATGAGGTTTACGTCGTAAAGCAGATTTGGATGAATACACTTATTTACTCCACTTAACTTTACCTTATAATCATCTTTTGCAACAACAAAAAATCTATTCCTGGCAAGTACAAATACCAGTATACTTTAGGCCACTGGTACCCAAACTCTCTCTGCCCGGCCTTTTTTTGCAACGCCCTAAAAAATGAACTATGAAAATCTTCTTTATGATTGAAACTTCCAGGAAGGAGTGTGTCTCTTTTCATTACCCACCGTTGTTAAGGTGAAGCAGAGGGCGAGACATGACTCGTCATATTTTTTTGTCTTTGTTTTAGAAGTTGTGACGTCCGCTGTAGATTCATAGTCAGCCTTATGTTTACCTGGAGGTCGTCTCACTAAATGTGACATGCTTAGCTGGCGTGCTCTGAACACCTGACGCAGAGCGATGGTTGAAAGTCCCAGAGCTGTTGTTCTCTTTATCGACATCAACGGGATACATCTTGTCCAATCAAATCACTTACTTGAATCTTATTGTTGTATGAAATCGTGTATTTTTTTTCGGATGTTGCCCCTCTGTCTTTAGATTCATCCGACGACTGTTATGACCCTGGGATCCCACCTGGGGCCCAGAGATATCCAGGCCGGTTTTACATGGGGCAGAAAGTGACTTACTGGTGTCAGGCCGGTATGGATCTCCTCGGCTCGGCTGAAAGGGTTTGCCTGGAGAACAGGGAGTGGAGTGGCTCAACTCCACGCTGCCAAGGTGCAGACTGACAGCCTTTTGCAATTGCAAAATTGTAATAACAGGCTTTTATAATAAAGCCCTTTTATAGAACCATAGAATAAGAAAATGAGAGACAGCATCAGTTGATGCCAGAGCAGCACACAGCGAACTGTTATATCATGACACATGTCAATTCATCAAGTCTTTGTTCTTACTGCAGCCCCAAACACCTTCGACTCCCTGAGTGTTGTGGCAGCAGTCATGGCGGGGTCGCTAGCAGGAAAGATGGATGTACTCTCACCAGACGCCAAACAGGAAAGTGAGTATAACTTGTATAGGTGTCTTAAAAGGAAGAATGTGTGACATTTAACACATAAATATAGAATACAGTAAATCAAGTATATCCTGTGTAAATGTCTCTCTGAGTCATGACTGTCTACAATGAGTGAGAAGCTTGAGTCCTGCCGGCTGTGTTGTTGTCAGAGCCATGTTTATATGGACGGGACGGCCGGCTCCTCCCCTTGTGTATCAAAGCTGTTTTAGTCAAGGACTGGAGAGAAGAAGAACATACTCACTGATTATTTGAATGCTATGTCAATATTTTTAGATCACGGCCAATTGCAGCTCAAGCGAAGGACAATTTTGTCTGCCGCTTGTGCTTGACTCCTTTGTGCCAACGTGAGTGGAGAGGGGTTGGAGGTGTGTCGCTGGAGGAGAGCGGAGGCTTCAGAATAGTGGAGTGCAGCCAAACAGCAGTTTGTTTTGTTTTCACGCTGGTGCTGAAGGACGACATCTACTGGGACAAAAAGTCACACATTCTTCCTTTAAATATCTCAGCAATATTTCAGCCCATTAAGTGAAGTACTTTCTGTGTGTGTTAGGTGAAAGCAGCTCTTTTGGTCGTACCTTCCGTGTGGCTGAAGGCAGTCGCGTGAATGTCTTCATTTTACTGGACACGTCGGGAGGCATTACAAAGGAGGACTTTGAAAAATCCAGGGAGGCCACCATTGCTCTGATAAGAACGGTCTGTAGCAATAAAAAGATTACCTGTTTCCCTGTCATCCTGTCTTGGTGGCTGCAACTCCTACATGTCTTTTTTTTAGTTTGAGAGCTACGAGGTGCAGTTGAAGTTTCATGTGGT